GGGGGGGCTGCACACTGTGGGGGCCAGGGGACCCACCCCTCCAGAGCAGCTCCCCTAGAAGATCCCCCACACCCACAGTCCCCCCAGCAATTGCCCCACACCTACCCACAGACCTACCCACAGACCAACCCACATCCCTCCACACACACACACCCGCCTTCCTCCACACCACTTCCCACCCCCTTCCTGCCAACACCACATCCCCTCACCACACACCCATCATGTGTGAAGAAAACCAAAAGCACAATCAACACATAGGTATTTAGAATTTATTTTATCATGATGATAGAGATACTGGAAGGCTTCCAAATTGCTTTAATATTGTAAATATACCAATAAAGCATTACCCAACTCATCGCTGTCTCTCTGTCTCTGTCTCGAGGGGTGTGTGTGTGTGTGTAGAGTGGTCTTTTGTTTTAACTGTCGAAGAACATGGATTTTGGGGTATTTTAAAAAATGGATTTGGGATGCTGCTGCAGCAGTCCAGCTGGCACAAGGGGTAGTGTCCCCCGGTACCAATTGGCTGGGCCCCAGAAGCTCCTGAGAGCGAGTAGCCCTGAGCTGCCTGCCAGGGCAGCTTCTTGTATGGATGGGGCCAAGATAAGGCAGCTTTTTATACTGTTGGGGACAGCACAGGTGCTGGCCCCGGGCTCTAGCTCCCCCTGGCTGCAGATGCAGGAGGAGCCAGGCAGGGTTATTTTGCCCCAAGTGGCACAATTTGCTCCTCAACAAAGTGCATGTCCGAGCACGTGTGCTGAGGCAAAAAGCCCTGGCTCAAATTTGCACCGCTTCTATTTGAGCTGCTGCAAGTGCACGTGCTTGCATGTGTGGACGTGCCCTGTGAGTTTAACCTTTATTTGTGAATCTTGTGCAATTTATCCCTAAGTTTGAAATATTTTTTGTATACTTCATACACTCTTGCTTAGCTATAAAAATGATCACATTTATGGTGGACTTGCAAAAATTTGGTGACCTATTTTTGTAACATGGGGAAGCAGGTTCTTTGCAAAGATATAATTGAGATCAGTGGTAAATGAAACTTCAGTTGTACATCTACTGCGTTTTTATTATAGATAATATATAAATAGTCATCATTCAAGCAGTCATTTCGTTGCTGGCCAAAATCAGAGTTAGCTACTGGAAGAAAGTTTCAAATTATTTAGAATGTATATTTTAATTTTCCTATGTTCCTTGACGCTTAACATTTGAGGCTTAACTATGAAATCCCTTGTTTACTCATTAGGAGGTGTGAGGGAAAGTGGGGTAACAGAGTTGTGGATAATAAAAGATCTTACCTCTAGTTTTCTCTGATTATTGAAATAGTATTCCATGATGACCAACAATGATATGAATAAAAATGGAGAGAACAGGTTTGCCATTAAATTTAAAAATGCAACAGCTCTTACCTCCCTGTTCACACAACTGTTGTGCTAAGGCATCCTTGAATATAACTTGACCCCTGTGAGTAGCTGTAGCCCTGGAAACATAAAAAGACAGAAAATAAACAATATGAATTACTTACGTACATACATGAATGGTTAAATTATAGTAATCTTTCTTATTTTTCTTCCTGTTTGTCTTTGTCTTTTCTTTATTTTTAGAAAAACAACTTGCTTAGGATTTCTTTTGTTTTGCTTTAACACAATACCCAAAACAAAATTTCTAGTTTGATGGTAAAGAAAGTGAATGAGTACCATGACATACTATTCACCAGTACCCGGCTCAGCAAAGACCATGAGATTTTAGGTCACCACCTGGATAAGCCCGTGTATGTTGCAAAATTGATGAGTTTTCCCAGAGCAGAGCACTGGCAGAAAAGAACAGCAGGAGAGATGTTCACAAAGCAGTTTCTGTAAAATCCCCTATCAGCTGATGCATACAGCAATAGTGATATTCATTCTGGAGAAAACAGCGTTTATCTACACCACTAGTTGAAATCAATCATGGAAGCACATGGGGTGCATAGTCCAAGCCCTTGTCTTAAGGCAGGATCAATAGACCTATAACTATGCCTGACAGACACTTGTATCAACTCTTCCTAAAAATCTCCAGTGAAGGAGGTTCCATAACCTCCTGGGGTAGTTTCAGCTTCACCACAGTAACAGAAAGATTTCCTAATATCCAGCCTAAATCTTCTTAGGTGATATATCACATCTGCTCCTTCTCTCTTATCCACGTGGTCAGACAAGGATAGAACCTACTGCAATGAAAAGGGGAATAAATGCTAAATAAAGTCTTTTAAGATTTATTGGGTTCTCAAAATAAAACCTACCCACAGCTATCAAAATACTGATCCTTAGTGGGTTTAATTTGCTCTCTATCATGCATGTAAGTACCATTAGGCACTTTTACATGTAATCTCAGGGTGAGGGAGCAGGGAAGCTTTAATTAGAGTGGCTCTGAGAGCGGCTCATAGGTACTAACTAGAGTTACACATAGGTATGCAAAGCAAATCATTGTATTTCTGATGTTGGTTAAACCTTGTTAGATATAACAGAAATATAGAGGGAGGTTAGATTGTGTTAAAAATGGCCACCTGATCAAATTTAGCTTGCTCAGGTGCAGGCCTTACACTTAGTCTCAGTGATCATAAATCAATCTAAACCCATAGCAGAACGGAAATTCTGCATGCACACAGACAGGTCTAAAAATGGCAGAACACAATCTAAGATCTGGATCGATGTACACTCACGCTTAACCAATCTAGGTTAGACCAGTGAACTGAACTTCAATATGCTTACCTGCATAGTCCTAGGGCTGGGAAAGCCCAGCTGCTAGGCCCCCAGGGCGGCACTTTTCCTACCTGTCCCCCTGGCACTGGGTTATTTTCATTTCAACAGTCCAGTGAGCCAGTGGGTAAATTAGGTTATACTACTCATGTTATCACAGCTTGGGGTGGGCCAAGAGCCAATAATTTTTTAATAGTGGATCCAGTTCCCAGATAAACTGGAATCTGAAGAAGATTAGGAGATGGCATCTTCTAAATAAGGTGGGGAATGTGACTGGAGCTCCTAGTGTCTGGTACCATGGGGAGGCAATCCCTCTCCTGTACCCCCTTAAATGATGTATGAGTGGAGGGTGGCAGTATTTCAGCAACAGTTTGGGGTCCAGATTAAGAAGATGGGGAGTTGACAGCAGCCCCCACATGTTGGAGAGAGGGCTTATAGCAGCCCTTGACCAGGTGAAACAGATTACAAAGGAGGAATGACCTGCATTGGATGTGTTCTTTTTGGATATTCCCAGATGTGTTATGTAATAAAGTGGTAGTTAGTTCAGCCACATTCCTGAGGTCTTGTCTTTAGTCCTGTGGTTCTGGGACAGTAAGTGAGAGCTGTATAACATACTATTTAAGTGAAAATGTAAAAAAGGCCTAATAAAGCACAATGTGAAAGTTCTTTTAGGGTTTCACACATGTCTTACAGTTATTTGAAATGTGGCATAACATTTCTTCACTAACACATGCTGTCTGTAAGTATGTGACCCTGTAACTACATTGTACACATAATAAAATAAGAACACAATAATTACTTTAGCACATGAGAACAGCCAATAATACCAAAAACTTTATCGCTTCCTTTAAAAACATCAGATAAAATGCAGTACATTTCAGAATATTTAAAGCAGCATTATCTTTACAGAACTCACAAATTGGCTTGAAATGCTAAATATTCAGTAGTTATAAATATTCAAGAAGATCATTTAGTATTACTGCACATATTTCTACAAATTCCCTCACGCTGGTAAGTGAGTATACGAGTTAGGGAATATCAAACAACGTACTCTCCAAATCAATGAACATATGCTGTTCAACCCCCATGGGCAATTGACCAGGTTTCCTTAAAAGAACCAACTTTGTGTGTTCAGTCACAAAACTACATACCAGGATATGCTAAAGCCAGCGGTTCGAAGAAATCATAAACAAACAGAGATGGATTATAGTATAGTTAAAAATGGGCGCATCCACATTTCCCCGTACAGTGATGTTGCTACGGTGCTGTGCTTTAGTACTTCATTTTGGAAGTACTAAAGCATGGCATAGTACAGGCAGTTACTTTGCCATGTGCATAGCATATGGTTAAATTTTACCACTATGGGAGTTCACTGTTACGGCGACGTAGCTGGCAATCACATGTAGACACATGTGATCACTATATTGCCGTATCACGTCATACAGCGACATAGCATGTCACTCCATAGCCTTAGGTCAACATGTAGACATGCTCCATATGTATTATGTGTTGAGCCAGTGCTCCTGGGCATGTAGACAAAATGGCACAAACAGGGTAAGGCAAACATTATCTATCTTGATTATGTTCTCCCAACCCTGTGATTCCCAGTCAGGGTGCCTAGAGATCCTTTCTAGAATCAAGATATCCTAGAGATCCCAGCCAGGGTACACTGCAGTGCCTAGAGATCCTTTCAAGCGTGCTGCGGGGTGTCATGCAATGTTAGAACTGTTAAGTGTGCAAACATGAGTCACAAGCTAAACCCAGTGATTTCAAATAGGAATCCACTTTCTGCCCTGTTGTGGTCTTTCCAAGTTCTTTGCAACACAATAATTACTCCATTATTTTTCTGTAGTCAAAAAAAGAGTGTAAAGTAAGAACTGGCATTTTCTGATGAGGTGCCTTTAGTCTAATAAGGGGTGCCTTAAGTCTAAAAAAGCTGAGAACCACTGTCTTAGCCCCACAGAGGGCTCTTCACAGGTCCTCTAAAATGGGAATCATTATCCTGATGAATGGTTGGGTGTAACCTCACTGAAACTGGCAGATGCAACAGGATATATGTAAAACAACTATATGGGTCACATTTTCCCTGCAGGCTGTATGTTTGACAGCCCTGGCTCCATGTTCTTGATAACATTTCTAAAATTAGGGTTGGCTTCTATATTGTTTTTAGAAAGTTTTCCTTTGCATCTTAAGGTATAGAATTAATGTGTTGTTTTCTTTGTAGATGAAGAACACTTCTCAAGTACATATTTAGGTTGCTCTAATACCATTAATCAAACACTCGGGTCTTACTCTGAAATATGCTATTTACTGGGTGTGTCTACATATGAATTAATGTGCTTTTCCTAAGGTGCATTCAATTTAGTACCTCTAATGTGAGGTACTAAATAAATGCGCATTAGGTTGCCCTAATGTGCAGTAATGAAAGAACGTGTTTTTAAAGCGATGCTTAATGCACAGTAGCCTATTTTACTGGACTTTAGCAGAATCGCATAGTTTTTTACATGACATTTTAATGCACAGCAAAATAGGCTACTGTGCATTAAAGCACATATGTAGATGTGCCCATTTTCAGTTGGAGGACAAGCCACTAAGAAGATAAGATATCGCTCAACCAAGGTCACTGTATGTATGCTCTAGCCATCCTTAGATACAATTCCTCTCTAATAATTAATATTTACATTAGAACTGAGAAATGAAAGAAACACGGGAGGACACAGGAGCATCCTGGTGTGATCAGTGTAAGTTTCAAAAGAAAAACAATTTACAGATAGGAAAGACAAAGTCTCTATATTATCTTCATTCATCCATTAATCTGGATCTATCAGTTGGGGGATACAGGAAGTAGAAAAAGGGCATTATAATAAGAAAAGAAAAGGGTAAATACATTGCTGACAGAGGAAGGAGGGAAGAGAGAGATATTTTAACTGAAGATAAAAATACCATCTCTCAAGTCAAAGCATAGAGTCTAGCTTCTGGCCTTGGACACATTACATTAGTGCTATAAATGTCCTTATATTGCTATAAAAGGTGAATGTCCACATGTACACGCATCCGTAGCACTACAAAACTGGTGGATCTGCCACAAAAAAGTTCCTCTTTCAAGAAAGAACTTCTTGGTAGCACTACATTTTGTAGCACTACATATAACATGTAAACTGTTACATATAGTGCCACAAAGGGTCTCATAGATAAGTATCCCACAATCTTCTGAACTCCCTCCCTCTTCTAAGAGGGAAGGGTAGGAGAACAGCTGGCTCCCTGACAGGCTTCCCAGCCAGGTTGACCTGGCACAGAGTGCTCCCAGGACCCTGATGCCACTGCTAGTGTGAAAGCAACAGCTTGCCAGTCCTCCCCTGATGGCTGCCTCAGTGCCAGGAGCACTAGTTCTGCCTACTGTTCCTGTAGCATTGGCTGCAGCTGTTAAGTAGACTCTTCTACCACCCCAGTGGGCTGGCAGAGGTGAGAAAAGCATCTTTCCTTGCCCCCCTTGCCCTCCTGTCATCCCCACAGGTGGTAGGCAGTAGAAGGGAGGGTGGCAATGAGAGCAGTTGTCTTCATCCCCCTAACATCTCTTCAACCCCACCTTCATCCGTCCTGGTGTGTGTGGGGGGGGAGCAGGCAGGGACAGGCACTGTCTTTGACAGCTGCTGCTGGTAGTAGCTGCCATCTGATCACTGATAGCCTGGCCCCTTCGCTGGCAGGGGAGAGGGCAAGCTCTCAGTAACCTAGCTCACTGACTGGTGCC